TATTCCTCCCTATGTACGGGTGTCCACACAAACATGTCAATTGGTATATACAATAGGATGTGACGTAATCATTTGTGCATTGTCTAGGTCTATTAGGAATCATGGGCTTTTTTTAAGGGTTTTATTTATTGAGTTGTAGAGTTTTTCACGAGTTTAAATTTAAATAGTGTTTTTTCGTCATTTCTTTATGGTCACTTATTACATAATAATTAGTTGCTAACTATGACTAATATTATTGTATATCGATCATTAGTGAAAGACTTTGATCGTTCACATGATTGACATTGCTACTATGCAATGTATTATTAATAAACAACATGCAAATGTGAAACATTGTTACTTCTTTTGTTAATTTTATTGCTTTTTTTTTCTGATTATGTGGTAAAACTTTAATATACCATTAAGGTAAACAGATTTTACATATTACAATAAGAGATTCAGGAGGTATTGATAATTATCGACCATCTAAGTAGGTGCCTCGTAAAAAACACTAATACATAGTGAGTGCCGCAACTGCAGCACTACATAGTTAGAATAATATGTTGTAAATCTGAAAAGTGTCAATATATTTATAAATTTAGATGCACATTTTGTTGGCAACATCATTAATTATGGATTGTTACCGTATTGATCTATTTATAGTGAATTTTCAAGTAAATAACGTGATTAATATCAGATGGGTTTTAAGGATATAATGGTAATTTCAATGGTTAAGATCATTAGTCAATTGAAGTTAGACCACCATGGAAAACCTGGAAGCATTGGACGGCCGTTTCGTCCTATTGTGGTCTAGCTTCAACTGACTCATGATCTTAACTAATGAAATGACTAGAATACCCACAAAACCCATCTGACATTAATCAGCATATGCTCACTAGTGACTTGCTTCAAGAGGTATATCCTGGAGTTCTAGTGAGTGGAGTTCAACTGAGTCTGTTGGGAGATAGTAACTCACTGAAGACAATGGTGGATGTGTCGCTCAATTTTGTGAATTAGTTGAAGTTAGACATTAACACCGTTGGATGCCGGCCCAGTGGTTTAGAGGTTAATTGCTCGCGGGCGAAACCAGTAAGTCCTGGGTTCGGATCTCGCGAGACGGGATAGTGGATTTGCACTGCTGATGAGTGCCGCAGTAGGACGAAACAGCCGTCCAGTGCTTCCAGGTTTTCTATGGTGGTCTAGCTTCAACTGACTCATGATCTTAACCACTGAAATAAATAATTTGAGTTTATGTATAACTCGATCTTAAAATTTGTGGCACAACAACGTTTAGTGTTTACAATAGTGGTTTATTTAGATGACGGAAGAATATTTGTGGCTTTAGAAAATAGGTATAAGTTGAAGTTGTAGAATGACAGTTATTATCAATATTGGGCTGTAACTTTTCAACATTTTTAAAGACAATGCATAAATTTATGACACATTATTCAGCTGTATGTTTATGTATATAGGTTTGAGATACCATTTTTGTACAAGAGTTAATGACATACTTTACAATAATCTAAATTACAGATGGTAAATCATGTTTGCAAACGTTAAAATATTGACTGGAGTCCGCTTACCTTATGCATTAGGTAGTTGCTTTATATATGCATTGCTTAACAAACTGTCTTACAAAATAGACTTCAAAGTTATCTAAGCTTGAATTTTGATCGGTTTTCGTAATTTTACTAAAACATTGACATAAATTAATCAATCAGAAATGAAGTAAATATAACCAAGTATTTTTCTATTCCATTAGATGTATTTAACAGCCTGACTGCTATTGTAGGACAAGAAATATTAGAGATGAAGCCAGGTAATTTATTATTACGTTTCTCTTTTATTTCTAAGAGAAAGACCAAACGATCTGTTTTCGTACGACGAATATGTACCAGCCACTACAATGCTGAAGAAGTAACTTTAAAAGGTGCTGCTATCGAGGCGAAGATAAAAGTCTAGTGTAAAAGGAAAATAACTTCGCTCAAATTGCATTTTTAAAACTGATGTCATACGCAAGAAACTGTGATGAGACAGTATTATCATCATATAATATTGCTTTATAGGTTGTGGAAATATCTTCGTTATGTTCCTACAGGATGTACACGTTATCATTTATCCTTTACATTTCATAACTATTATGAATTAGCTTTTTGAAAATCAATTGTCATCAATTTACATCAGTTTCATTCTATAGTATAGAATTGATTTCATGGTATCAGTGAGTTAGGTGACTCCTAGGTGTTAAATTTTGACACATTCCAAAGTGTTTCTAAGTCATTTATGTTAATAAAGTTTTTATTATTCAGGGTATTTTTAAATATAACGTACTTCTTCTTATGTGAAAAATAAACAATGAAATAAGCAATAGGAGATTACATTCAGTGTTATACGGTCATGAAATTTTGAAGAATAGGATCATGCCAATTCATTTTTAATGTCAAAATAATATGTCATGTAAGAACAAGTAGTTATATGGAGCATTATAAGCAAAGATGGATAGTAGGACGCGCTTTTCGTCCTATTTCGGACTCATTAGCTGGATGTACCTGAATCGCAGAGTCTCAATTGGGACGAAATGCGCGTCCTGGATTCCACTGCTAGCTACTATCCATCTTTGCTTATAGAGCTTGTGACGTTAGGCGATGTCATGGCAGTCCTCACATAATGCACATATACTAACAAGAGACTGATCAATTACTTACTTACGCCTGTTACTCCTAGTGGAACATAGGCCGTTGACCAGTATTCTCTAACCCACTCTGTCCTAGGCCTTCTTTCCTAGTTCTATCCATTCTTGTTCATTCTTCTCATGTTTGTCTCCAGTTCTCGGAGTATTGTGTTCTTTCGTCTTGCTCTTCTCCTTTGGTTTTGAGGATTCCATGTGAGGGCTTGTCTTGTAACATAGTTGGGTGCTTTCCTCAATGCATGTCCTATCAACTTTCAGTGCTTCTTTCTGATTTCTTCCTCCGTTGGAATCTGATTTGTTCAGTCCCATAGAGGCTGTTGCTGATAGTGTCTGGCCATCGGATCCGAAATATTTTGCGTAGACAACTGTTAATAAACACTTGTATCTTCTAGATGATGGCTTTCGTAGTTCCCCATGTTTCCGCCATATACAGTAGAATGATCTTGATATTTGTATTAAAAATTCTGACTTTGGTGTTGCTTGACAGGAAATTCTTAGAATTTATAAATTATTTTGATAGCAAGTAAATTATAGGTTTATAAATGTTTTATAATTTGACTTGGTATATTTACGGAAACGATAACTTACCTTGTGAATGCTTGTATGTTGTTTACGTAGTATACTGTTTTAATATGAAATCGTGAGACTTTAAAAAATATTTCTGTGCCCATCAATTTCGTTGTAATTCGTTATAATTTATTTTCAGACCAATCTGTTGCCTTAGATCTAATAATAGTTGCGACATACATGCTGACAGTTTCCTTAATATGATATGAGATTCTTTGTTTTAATTACAAGATGAGATAGTGAATGTAGTTACAGGATTGTTGTTATCCTAAAGCGGTCATTTACAACAAAATTTAGGGATTAAACAATAACTTTAAGTTTTATAAAGTATATTTTCATATTCTGTCGAGTAAAGAATCTATGCAGAATTTGTCAGTACAAAACATCGGTCTGTGCTGCCATAACCTATAAGAACAGAATAGATCTTTATTTATATTATTGCATGTATTAACGAAATGTATAATTGATCTCAAAGCAATAAATACCTTTCTATCCAATAGAATAACCTGGCTGATACACAAAGAGATCGAAAAAAGATTTATTGAAACAAAAAATCACGTTTATTAGAAATTATCTTGATTACTGGATTTTATTTCTATAGATTTCGTTTCACAATATGGTGGTGTGTACTACTGATGTCGATAGACATCAGTAGTATGTATCATCAACCGAAAGTGAAGTACTTGGCAGAAGAAGGTTAAGAAGATCACAGAAAAGAGAACGAGAACAGAGAATGATTGATATGGAAATAAAAGAACATTGAAGTTTAAAACGACTGACTGATATTGTGCAAATAAATAATTTATTGTATGGTTCTCAGATTTCACTAAGATGTTCTGTAATATTGTGTTCCAACACATTTGATTATCATCAATTGTGCTCTCGTTCACTCCGATATGTCTATTCATGATCAGCTATTACTTTACTAGTAATAATTATTGATTTTATAAATGAACTGATGCTTTTCTACAGAAAAAAATACCTCAAATACGTACAAAATTGATTTATATTTATACCGATCTTCATTTTGTTAGTTATGTATTCATACATTCTAGAGATCATTCAAGATCCTTTTGTCACCTTTGTAGAAAATATATGTTAATTAGTAATTGGGTTGAAAAGATATCTGATTGTACAGTTATAAAGAGTTAATATGCAACGGATATCTTTACTGATATACTATTTGGTATTTTATCATGGATCTATCGACAATTTTTGAATGATCATTTTTAGTTCTTTCAAAACACCGTCGATAGTAACCATCATCAGTAACACCACCCTTATAGATCTTCTGTTTCTTTTCTATGCTTCTTCATATTTCGTTTTATGTCTACAAGAGTATAAGCCTGAATTAGAATTTCGGTTCTTTAAAGCTAGTTTTAATAGTAATTGTTATCGTTTACAGTTCGTAGAAAGATGAATCAAAAATATCAGAGGTTATTCATAGATCATGATCCTAATAAAAAAATAAGAACGGAAATTTTTCAGCAATTCAGTCAGCATATTGTAGACAATTTCCATATGAACAGTTTAATTAGATTACCGAAACAAATATTCTATACAGTCTCACTGTGTATATCGATTTGTTTACTTGAATAGTTCAGTATATTTAAACCTCGATTATAACTTCTTTTAAATGTTGATTGCTCTCTCCACTGTTTAATAAATTTTATATTCCAAGAAAAATATATCTTGGAATGGTTTCATATTCTCAGTTTGTATCGCTACTACATTGTTGCATTACTTGTTATTTTTAACTATTTAGATAACTAATTCAAATTATCTTAAGATGGTCAGTGAACGTTCTACAAGCGAACAACGTGGACCAGTAAGTTTTTATTAAATTCTCGTGATATATAGATATAAGACAATAAATCTCTCATGCTATTGAATCAAAACATATTAATTGTTTCTGAAAATCTGTTTCATTCATTTAGAAATTGATATCAAATAGGCAACCAAGTAAACGTATGCATAATAATATAGAATATTACCATGAAATATGGTGATAAAAAATGTGTTATCAGAAGGGGTTTGTGGAGATTTTAGAAATTTCACTGGTTGAAATCATGAGTCAATTGAACCAAGACCACCATGGGAAACTTGGAAGCACTGGACGGCCGTTTCGTCCTAGTATGGGACTCCTCGGCAGTGCGCATCTATGATCCCGCACTCCGCGAGGTTCGAACCCAGGACTCATCGATCTCGCACGCGAATACTTAATCTCTAGACCATTGAGCCGGCATCCAACTGTGTTAATTTCTAACTTCAACCAATTCACGAAGTTGTGCCACCGTACCCTAGTGGTCTAGTTGGTTAAGTGCCTGGCGCGAGACTGATAGGTCTTGGGTTCGAATCTCGCAGGGTGAAGGATCGTGGATGCTCACTGCTGAGGAATCCCAGGCTAGGACGAGACGGCCGTCCAGTGCTTCCAGGTTTTCCATGGTGGTCTAGCTTCAATTGACTAATGATTTCAATCAGTGAAAACATTTATTAGGCAAGAAACTGAAATGAATGTTTATAAAAAAACACGATATTCTAGTATATCGTCTTCAATCTTTAGTCATCATGTTATCAAAGTATATAAATACCTCATCAGTTATTTAACTACAAGTATTTCTTATAAAGTTTTTCAAAGAAACAAAGGACAACTTTAACTTATCTGAAAAAGAACACACAAGAATTGGGATCGAGTTAAAGGCATATTGAAGTAATTACAGATACTTTATATTCATCAAACTCCGTTGGTGAGATAATATAAAAGTCAGTCGATCGTCACTTGATTTTACATAATTCATTTAGGAAACTGACTCTATATAAATTCCTATCAAGAGACGTTGGTGATAACTGATTACTGAGTAACAAATGGTATCTTGTTATCTGCCGTAATTCCTGAACATATTTTATCGATAATCTAAGACTTTATCACTAGTATAAAAAGAACAATCATGCTATACACTTTGATTGATATTAGTTAATTAAGGACGACTGTTGAAAAACTGTATATCTAGGTATCCTTCCTTGGTTCTATTCAGCAAACTTTTTACTTTGGATAAGGTTCATTTATTGGTATTTATACATTAATACACTTTATAACACTCACTAAAGATAATTTAACAATATTTTCTCAGTTTGAAAAATAATTTTAAAAAAATTCTCACCAAGTAGATGTTTTGGTAAGTGTCAGTCAAACAGAAAAGAAATAGAATGATGGAAAGTTAAAGATGATATTCATTAAAAACTATATATATACATAAATTGACATCTATAAGGAACAAATGAAGACATTTTCAGTGGTGTTAATTCAACTTAAATCTGTAATAATAGACATCTTTATTGTTAGTAGAGAAATTTGGTGACGTTTTCGTTTTACTTGCAATCACGAATTCATTACATATACTAGAAGTAATTTCATTAATAGACAGTATAAATGAGTGGAAAAAAAAACAACCAACATCAAAGTGAATTGTAAATATGATCTCAGAAAAGTAAATCCTGTCATTTACTAATAGTTTAGTTGAAACATAGATGAAATAGTATTAAGTGAATAGATCACAGTTTGAAAATAGCATGTAATCTTCATCTATTATTATTGTTATTACTAATAATTTTATGATGCGTACTACTTATATCGACATAAGTAGTGTATAATGTTAGTCAGGAATAGAAGGTCGAGTAGATTGGAAGTGAAAGAACTGAAACAGAAAGCGATTAGTTTTTGAAAATGAAGGAACAGTGAAGTTTAGGACAATTGATTGATATTTTGCAAATTAAATATTTATTATATAATTCTCAGATTTTACAAAGAGATTCTGTAATTTTATGTTCAATTACATTCGATTGGCCCCCAATTGTGTTCTCGTTCACTACAGTTTCACAGTGTTTATTGTGATGTCTACCAGAATACTCAAAGTTATATCGAATTCACACTACATGACAATACCTGTAGCCGTAATTAGCTTATCATATCCAGGCAATGCTGCAATTCACTGACCCTATATTACTGATTTATTCCCTTATACGTTTGATATGTTGTGCAACAATTTTTTTCTATACCAAATTAAATCGAACGTGATGTATAGGAAGAATGTTCGAATTTCAATTTTGTAATCTATGTGATACTAATTTTGCTGTTACTATATGTTAGAATAAATGAAAACGGGCACCAAAATGTCTATAACATTTTATCCTAGCTTATATATCTGTAGTTCATGTCCAATAAATCTCACGTTTGTAATTAACATACAGATTACTTATTATGAGGGAGTATGAATTATTAACTAGTAAATAGAATTAACCATTCAAACTATCACTAAAATTAGTATTGTGGTGCGTGCTACTTATATTGATATAAGTAGTATATGACGCGAGTCAGGAATGTAATGTCTGGCGGTAGAAGATGGGAAAGATCAAGAAAGGAAGAGCGGGAATACAAAGCAGTTAGTATGCAAATGCGATAACAATGAATTTCGAGACAATTATTGAACATTTTGCAAATTAAGTATTATAGTATGGTTTTTCTATTTTACCAAGTAATTCTGTAATTTTGTTAAATATAATTCAATTATCCCCACCCGTCTTCTGTTCACTACAGCATCATAATCTTGGTGAATGTCAAAGTTTACTTATCTACTGGACCATATCCAAAACTGATACTGCAGTGAAGACAATCGAATGTATTTGAACATAAAATTACAGAATTTCTTAGTAAAATTTGAGAACCATACAGTGAATACTCAATTTGCAAAATATTAATCAATTGTCTCAAACTTCCCTGTTGCTTTTGCAAACATCAGTCAATCTTCTCAGAATTCACTAGTACTTCCTTTCCAAACCAACTGCTTTCTGTTCCCGTTCTTTCCTTCTTGATCTTCTCAATCTTCTGCTGCCAGACATCAAATTCCTGACTAGCGTTATATACTACTTATGCTGATATAGGTAGCACACAGTACAATATGACTGTAGGACACGTTAATAATGGTTTTTCGAATGAACTTGAGAATGTATTGTAGTTATGGTAGTGTATTTTGTTTATCTATCGTATATGACAATTAACAATCAGTGTTTGAAATATGAACAAATTTGAAAAGATACTAAATAAATCATTGTTATCACCATTATCAAATGATTTGTTTTGTACTGAAAATATGTTTTGCATATGCTTGCATGTCATCAATTTGTTTTAGAGCTGATTGACTCCAGGGTTCCAGTATAATGCAGCAAACTTGTGTTTTACGTTTGGTTATACTTATCTGCAATGAATACTTTTGGCCTTCAAGACTTAGACTTTTAACAGTTCTACCTTACCCATAGTCGATGTTAGAGAAATTATCAATTAATGACTTAGCCTATTACTGATAGATAACAAGAATCAATAAATGAAACAGATAAATACATGGAGTACAATGAATAAAATAGTATTAAGCCTTCTAAGCAGTTAACGTTTTTGTCGTTGTTTGTAACCAGTACATAAATTTTTTTAAAATTCATTTTAATGAATGACTACAATCACCGACATTATTAAAATGTCTTTAAAAACTTCCTTTCATCAAATCATTTGATAGTTAAGTAGCAACAATCATTATGTGCTCACTAGTGACTGGCTTCAGGATGTATTTCCAGGAGTTCTAGTGCGAAGCCGTGACCAGTGTAGTTCAACTGTATCTATTGTGAGGCAGTTGCTTACTGAAGACAATGATGGACGGTCGCGCAATATCGCGGATTGGTTAAAGTTGAACATTAACACCAATGGATGCCGGTTCAGTGGTCTGGAGGTTAAGCGTTCGCGTGCGAGACTGATAGGTCCTGGGCTCGAATCTCGTTAGGCCGGGATCGTGGATGCGAACCGCTGAGAAGTCCAATAATAGGACGAAACGGCCGTCCAGTGCTGTCAGATCTTGGTGTAGCTCAAATCAACTCATGAATTCAACTATTAAATTAAGTAGTACTTAGTCATTACTTATGTTGTGTTCGTTTCTAAAGGAATTTAATTAATAGATTATTATTGTTCAATGAAGTTTGTTGGTTTCTTATTCACATGACTTTACTTGATTTATGTACGTTATTTGTTCTGATGTTTCAAACGCCTTCTGACGGGACAATTAAAAGAATGATATGTAAATCCAATTCAGAAATACTTTACGACGTATTGTATGACATGTAAGGTTGATCAATCACAGTCGAGTACACCATTTGATGTGGATACGTGATACGGTTATCGTTTGATAATTTGACTATTTTTAATTAATTATGAATTTCTTAATAACAATTAAGGATTTGATCAATTATTTCTTAATAGCTGAATAAATTCCGTATGTGAGACGTTATGTATTTTCTACTTTGTCTTGTGTATGATTTTTATTACTGTAGAGTGTTCTCGCCAAGCCTATTAGGCCTACGCCATTTTCTGGATCTTATCGAGCTGCCTCAGCTGAGAATAAACATGTTCATGCACCGTGGGTATTTAATAATAATCCACAAGTGTAAGTTGAATTACTTTGATGCATCAGTTTTGTAGCATGTAACTTTTCTAAGATTTGTAGCCTATGCAGAAGCATAATAAATGTGAATCAGGTTACAAACCGAGTTTTAGATCAGCAAATAATCATTAGATTCAGAAATAAAATGTCAATAAATGGGTTTATATCGTTCCTTATATTCATGACTCCCTGAAATCAACCAATGTTGCTTGAGTAAATGATTATTTTGATTCTATAATGAAAAGGGTAGTATGTAAGTAGATTCTTCAGTGTGACTATTATGGTAAAATATTTACAAAATGGTGTTATCTACTACTGTCAACTAAACTCGTCAAAATTCAAGTACGACTGAGTTACTAATCATTCGACTGATATCTATCCACATCACTTGATTAAAAATCCTCATACTGAATATTATGTTGCTCATTAGTTATGCGGCTCAGGAGCATAACATGTGGAATATGAGGTAGATAAAATAACAGTTACATAATAACACGTCGATTGAAATGTGGCATCAATTAGTTTCGTTTTATTGTAAAGATGAGTATTAATAAGCTAAGCTACTTTCATTATAATATCTAAATGAGAAAGAGTTATTTTGTTTACAGTCTATAAAGCAATTCGAATAATTCTTTTCATTTAATATTTCATTGAAAACAGTTTGGATAATTTATCTAAAAATCATCGAAATGCTCAAAGATCAAGTATTACAAGTTTATCTTCTTCATCGGCATTATCAATAGATGAACGATTCAATGGTGGTCTTAATATAAAATCATTTGAAAAATTTGCACATATGGGTCAACCACATGTGATTGCTTTGTATAATTTTGAAACTGGAGTAGATGGCGATTTAGAATTTGAAGTAAGGGAAGAATAATTTATCCTATTTCTCAAGTTATATATTTGTATTCAGTCTAAGTATGTATATGTGTACTTCAGATAAATCCTCAAAATCATAGATGGTTTGCTAATTTCGATTATTGATTTACTTTATAAATTATATGAACTAGAAAATATAAAATCAGCAAGCCTTAATCATAATTGATTTGTTGAAGTTAGACATTAACGTCATTGGATGCTGGATCAGTTATCTAAAGGTTAAGCGTTCGCGTGCGAGACCGATAAGTCCTGAGTTCCAGTCCTGTGAGCGAGATCGTGGATGTACACTGCTGAAAAGTCCTATACTAAGACGAAACAGCCGTCTAGTGCTTCCAGGTTTTTCGTGATAGTCTAGCTTTAATAGCTTCATGAATTCAACTATTATAATTGAATGTACTTTAATAGTCTACATTATCGACAAAAGTGTTTATGAAGCTAATTTAGCGGAAAAGAATGTATCTTACTTTCGCAACGATATATTAATTCGTCCGAAGTACTGATAACATTATGGACATTTTCGTTATTCATTAAAAGCATATTTATATAATTATGAAAATGGTTGTTTAAAGCATTATCAAATGCTAATAATGAGTAGATGCATTGACTTTGAGTCTTACTCTTACAAAATGGTTTTCAAAAATACTTGATAGAAAGTGAGTATGATGCGTTTGTAAGTGACATTGTTTTAACAACGCTGAGTATAGTAAATCAACTTAGATTTTAAATACACTGTAATGATTAGCAATAATTGATAATGTTTTTGTATACAAACATTTTAGCTATTGGACCGATTATATGATAACATAGAGTTATCTTACGTCATTTGTTGTAGCCAGAATTCTTTTGCATATTGATCTTAAATGACTTGTCTGTTCCGATATGCTGTAGAAATGACTCTTTGTGGATATGACTTCAATCGTGTCCACTATTTAGTGGGTGATTAATATATTACAAAACGCTTTTTTTATAATTTACTAACTAGTAATCCTTATTATATAGTATTACTGCTCATGTTTCTCAGTTTGTGCTAGAAGAAACGAGAATCGTGTGTACATACAGCTTTAAATGGGAAAGAACAGTTCATAAACATTAGAAATAGTGGAGATCAAGTAATTACATTCACGACTATTGTGTTTATCCATAAGTTTCTTTTGTAATTTCTAATTATTGAATGTACTTATTCTAATGGATTTGGTTGATGGCCTCATTTTTAATCGTATAGATTTGTTCAGTAGTTAGTGTGGATACTGGATCCCTAAAATAATCACACAAATAGATTGATATAGGATTCCTCGATGTCCAAAAGTTTGATGCATTACTATCTAAAAGAAAACCTACAAAGAAGATAAATACAAACTAATTCATCAAGTAGGAAAAACAATAGGTATCAGGTAATAAGCAGTTTGACATTTATAGGAAGTCCCATACTAAGACTAAACGGCCTTCCAGTGCTTCCAGGTTTTCCATGGTGGTCTATCTTCAATTGGCTCATGATTTCAACTAGAGAAATTTATAGGAAAATCAAAAGTAATTCATGAGTTTCACCAAGATAAAAAAAAACTAACATGGTATTCAAACAATCGTTTTTTAAACATTTCGGTTTTAAATGTGGAAATCTGAACCTCTAAATGATTTGGTTTAACAGTTTCGATTAGATTATACATCTTGTACTGACCACTACTGAATTTATTTCAGTTGGCTGGTATCTATTAGGAGTTGAATGGTTGAATAATCAGTAAGTTATTATGAATAATCCCAGTTTGAACAGTACCATTTTGTTCAGAATAGTAGTTCTGCCAACTTATTGATTTTATTTTTCAAATCTTTGGCTTTTTATAATTTTATTCTTTTTTCATTCGAAATAATCATTGGATTTTCGGTAAGATATGGAGTGTTTCACTTAGTCGTTGTATGATCGGGTTAGCTGAATACAGTGATGTCAACCAAGAATGAACATACTTTTCATAATTACTTTACCAGATTTACTACCGATCTGAATTTTTTTTATATTTACCGTTACCGAATATTAGTGAGTAGTTTAAATTCATATAACCGCGTTATTCGACCTTATGTCTTCGCGGTTATTGAAGTGGAAATTGTACTTTTTATTGCAAGCAAGTCTGATAAAATAGTTCTTGATATATGCTTATGATATAAAACGTCATAAAATGCTAAATTTGGTTATTTTAATAGTGAAAATGATAGTTTTTCAAAAATAAATATTTTAAAGGTTGGTGACATTATTATGCTTGAGGATATTGTTGATGAATCATGGTATAAAGGGAGATCTATAAGAACTGGTGCTGTTGGAATATTTCCTATGAATCATGTTGAAGTACGTATCCCATTGACTTCCGGTTTATTTACAAATACTCAACCTAAAATGCAGTTTGTATATTCTAATCGATCAAACAACTTCACAAATACCACTCGGACACATTCTCATCCATCTTTCAGAAAGAAACCTGTCCCATTACCGAAGATCATTAATCAATCTGCGCCTGTAAGTAAAATGTATATAGAATTCCTTACTTTATTGTTTAGAAAACTTTACAAGCTATTATAATGTTAACTTTTTGTAACAGTAGGTAAACTGGGCGGCAGACATTTAGTACTATGAAAATACTTTAAATAGATTCCTGAGCTTTATATAATTATCAGTATAGGGTTGTGGAGATTACTAAGTTTTTGATTGAGATCATGAACCGATTGATATTAGATCACCATTGAAAACCTGGAGGCACTGGATGGCTGTTTCGTCCTATTATGGGACTCCTTAGCATGCGAACTCAGGACTTTCGGTCTCGCGCACGAATGCTTAACCTCTAGACCACCAAGCCGGCATCTAACCTCAACCAATCTAGTGCTTCCAGGTTTTCAATAGTGGTCGAACATCAATCGGTTCATGATCTCAACCAAAAACTTTATATAATTATTTATGATTAGTTGTAAATATGCACTAAAATATTACGGTACTATTGAATTCAAATATGTTTTCGAAATTCCAATTATAAAAGTATCAACGAACCTATTTTATAACAGAAAGTATGGTTTAAAACAAGAAACGGAGAATTGGAACCAAACAACGTTCAGCTGAATTATAAAACAATGTTCTTATATGTAATGGTAACCTAGAAGATACTAAAATACTTATTCATTCATTTGGATATTATTCATTAAATTTTATAATTAGACGATTAAGAAAGAGGTTAACTATAAACTATGATATTGGTTTACTTATCATCTTCATGTAATCACAAATAAAATGGATCAACTAAATAATGAATTCTATAACTCATACATTATTGTAATTAGGTAAGAGTAGTTTATAGGTTAATTCATCTATCTATAACAGTTTTAGGTGGGATGACTTAAGTTCTAAATGAGTAATTGTAGTAAGCTTTATTTCTTTACATAAAAACTTATGATTACGATAAGATCTATCCGCTATCGAAATGAAGCTATCTGAAATTGAAATCGTGAATTGTACAAGTAATAATTTCTGTAGACTAAATTTTATAAAATAACATCATACGTAAGCATTGGTTGTTTGTCATTAAACATCATAGAGGAGTTAATCAGTACTCCCATAATAATGGGATCTTGGATGAGCACTGCTGAAAAGTCCCATGCTAGGACGACATGGACGTCCAGTGCTTCTAGGTTTTGCATAGTGGTCTAGCCTCCATTGACTCATGAATTCAACTATTAAAAATATTTTAGATTGATTTTAAGAATCACCGAATGAACATACCGTGTTCACTTGATGATGTTAATAATTTTGGAACAAATTTACATAGAAGTAGAGCATTGGGATAGTAAGCGATTTATGATGATATTCTCAGTATTTTATACTTTGTTTCATTTAGTGATAATATCGACATAATGGATTCGTAGGTTTGGTGAAGCTAGACTACCATGGAAAACCTGGAAGCACTGGACGGCCGTTTCGTCCTATTGTGGGACTCCTCAGCAGCGTTCATCCACGACCTCGCCACCTGCGAGATTTAAACCCAGAACCTATTGGTTTCGCGCGCGAGCACTTAACCACTAGACCACTGAGCCAGTATCCAACGGTGTTAATGTCTAACTTCAACTTATCTACGAAATTGAGCGACACATCCACCATTGTCTTTAGTGAGTTACTATCTCACAACATATTTAAGAGTTTTATTAGCTTTAATTATTTCAATTCTATATATGATTAAGTTTGATAATCATTACTGAGAATTATATACTTTAGAAGTAATGTTAACTTCTTTCTGAATCAAAGTAATGCATCACAAAATTGTCACAATCGGTATATCAAGAGTAATATGTTGTTACATGACTCATTATTTAAATTATGGACTTAAGAAAATAATATTCCTATTTAATAGTTCAGTTCATGAGTCGATTAAATATAGACAACCATGAAAAACCTGGAAGCACTGGACGATTATTTCTTCTTAGTATGGAACTCCTCAGTAATGTGTATCTATGACCCCGATCTCGGGATTCGAACCTAGGACTTATCGATCTCGCGAGCGAACGTTTAACTGTCCAGTGATTCCAGATTATCTATGGTGTTCTAGCTTTAATTGACTGATGAATTCAACTATTAAACTAATATAATCTTCACAAAACTCCATTGCTGATAGTATTCATATATAGATAATATCTTCACGAAATGTGAATCGAGTTCGTTCTTTATTTTGACATGGTGAGGTCATATGAATGGCGCTACTCGGATCCTGTATGCGCGTTTTGTAGACGCAGAACACATCGATGGCGCGAGATTCTAAAGTCCTAGCTAAGGGAGCTTATTGTCCTATTCGGCACAGTGTTCGGACGTTAAAAGCTCCCTTGTGTAGTTTAGAGCGTAGTTTCAGGAGACCAGGAATAACGATCCGAGTACTCGAATCGTTTACCCTAGCGGTGCGAGGTGATAAAGGGACGCGATGGTTAGAGACCCTGAATGACATGGCTCAAAATCGTTTGCAATGGCGCAAATGCATCCACTCTTTGTGTTCTTCAAAATTCTAATCTTTTGAATTCTTCATGTCCCTTTACTTGTTCTCTTTTCAAATTTATTTTACTGTATTATACTCCTTGAATAACATCTCTAAGCCCAAATGTTTCTGATTACTGCTTTTACTCTTATTACCTCTACTACTACGGAATTTGAGTCGACAACTACATCTCTGTGCTAATGTGGTGTGGTAACTCGAACTGATGTACGTACGTACGGAGTTTTACATTGTTAAAGACTGACTGAGAGATAATATCTATATCAATAAAATACACTAATATTCATTTTTTTGATACACTGAGTAATATGTATCTTAGTTAAATAAACATAAATGTATTTATAACTCATAAATACACCTTCTTCACTTACAATAAAGATAAACAGGTTTAATGTTATATTTATATGTATTTTTAAACTTAATTTTCTAAACAGAATTATATTCAGCCTAATTATACATTATGCAATCAAAAATTACCTACTTGTTATCTACCTAAACGACCATCTAAAATTCGAGTTGCCAGTTTAAAAGCTAAACACGAAGGAAGTGTAAGTGTTTTTTTAAAAAAGAAGAGAGAATAAATAAACTTGTGGAAATATAAGTTCATCTAATGCACTTATGGTGATTTGTTACACAATATTAGTTACTATATGCGCACAATCTTATCCATATTCCCTTTAAAATTTCATTTTATAATCTAATCAGTTTGTTTGATTTTTTGGTGTAATGTTAAATATTTTACATACTGAATTCATTCATACCATAATTATCACATATACCTTTACATGAAATGACTAAATTCATTAAATCTCCCCAACATATATCTAAGCTCTTATTCTGATTAAAAATAATAATGAAGTAAATATATGTATATCTATGCAAAGATGGATAGTTAGATGGTGGTCGCGGGTAGTTGACAGGAAACCCTGGTCCCGAGTTTCGTGCTACTTGGACCTCGTCAGCAAAGTGTGCCTGTAATCTTGAAGGAACTGGTGCTTCCTGACGGATTCGATCCCGTGTCACTCAGCTTCAAAGTCTTTCTTGGTGCAAATCGAATCCTATTAACTAAATTGCAATGTGGTTACTTGTGTAATTGATTCGATATTGCGTGCACTATGTTGAGATAAGATGGAGGTTGGAGGTAGTCAACAGGAAACGCTGGACCTACATTTCGTGCTATTTGTCACTTGTCAGTGGTAACGTCTCTGACTGTGAAGCTGGGTGACACGGGATCGAATCCCTCAGGGAGCACCAGTTCCCTTAAAATTACAGTTACAGCTTGCTGACGAGTGCCAAGTAGCACGAAACCCGGGTCCAGGGTTTCCTGTCGACTACCTCCAACCACCATCTAATCTCAATATATAGTGCGCGCAGTGTCGAGTCACCTGGACTGGTGGCCACATTGCAACTTGGTCGATAGCATTCGATCTGCACTAAGAAGGACTTGACATACGTGACATTGATCACCACCCACTGATCAATCAATTGTGAAAGATGGATAGTGACTAGCAGTGGAATACAGAACGTGCGTTTCGTCCTATTTGGAGCTCGTCAGCTGGATGTACCTACATTTCATAGTTGATGTTCAGTCTGGGACTAGAAGCCAAAATCATTCGCTTCAAACGGCATCATGTTATCCATTTAGCTACTGCTCTAGTTAGTCTATCACTTAGCGAATCACACCATTGCACAAGGAAGTGCCTATCAAGACTCAGTAGCTAAGTGGATAACGCGATAGCGTTTGAAGTGAATGGTGCTGGGTTCGAGTCCCAGGGTGAACATCAACTCTGAAATGTAGGTAAATCCAACTGACGAGTGCCAAATAGAACAATACGCGCGTTCCTGATTCCACTACTAGCCACTACTCATCTTTGCTTAGAAAGCCTGTGAATTAAGTCAATATCGAGACAATCCGCCCAGAAAGTACATATGACAATAGAGACTAAACAGTTGCAGTCTCAAACCGCAATGGGAAGATTCAAGCAAACAATACCGAGTGAATTTATCTGTATATATATTGTTATCATTTAATAGAAAAAATGAATAAGGTTTAATTCAATTTTGTATTGGTTGTTAGAATCTTCCCATTGATGTTTAGGACTGCAGTTGATCAGTCCCTTATTGGCATATATGAATCCTGTCCGGATTACCTCGATATTGCCTTATATGACGAACGTTGTAAGCAGAAATGGATGGTGACTAGCAGTGAAATCCAGGACACGCATTTCATCATATGCCAGGAAGAGACTGATCAATTAGAGTCCTAAACATCAATGGGAAAATGTGAACAACTAATACAAAAATGCATTAAATTTCACACGATTGTATAAGCTAACGACTATCAAGATTTAGCAGCTAAGTGGACGATATGATGGCATATAAAGAGAACAACACTGAGTCTGAGTCCCAGGGTGAACATCAACTCTGTGATGTCGGTACATTCATTTGACGAGTTCGGAATAGGACGAAACACGAATCCTGGATTTCATTGCTAATCACTATCCATCTCTATTTATGAATGACATTTAATAATGAGAATTTTATCATCATAACTTACATCATTATTATTTATATCTAACACCAGAAATCAAGTTCATCAAAGTGTATCCAAATATAATTTGTGATTTCATGCAGATAATTTAATGAAAAGATCTTTCAATTATTTTTATTTCATATAAACAATGAATTATTATACTCATCACTCTGGTGTACTTTACTGAGATTCATTGCTTTAAATCTATAATATGGTGAACTATATTAATTTATCTTCACTCATCCTTATCCATATATGATTATACACATCTGATAAAATTTTTACTTCTCTTGGATACTGGATAGTACCCTACCCGGGCAGTATTCCAGCCCTCACACAAATCGAATGGTCTATGTGGTACATATCTATTTGGTGCCGTTTTGGTGCCTCCTCCTTGAGTGTTATCTACTCAGTATTATGTGATAACATTCTAGTTTGTTTTATATTATGACAAATAATTTAAAAGAATTTTTTTGTTTCTTTTCATCCATCATTATTGTGAAGTTACATTTTAATTTTATTTTGTATTGCTAGTCTTTTGCAAGTGAACATTATTATAATAATTCCAGTGGTTATGATCATGAGTCAGTTGAAGCTAGACCACCATGGAAAACCTAGAGGCACTGGATGGCCGATTCGTTCTATTGTGATCTGACTCATGGTCTTAACCATTGAAATTACTATAATATTCACAAAACCCGTCTGATAGTATTATAAGAATTAAAAGAAATGGTACTTTTTTAATAGATTACCTACCATAGACCTTCAAGAGTAACCAATGTCGTTCTGCTAGTTTCCATTCAATTATATCATCATTATTCATTTTGTAAATATATATATATGATGAATGAATTTCAGTGCAATAGTCTCTTATTTATCCAATTATCATAAGATCAAGACTAGGTACCAATCACTATGATGATCCCAATTTGAATTTATAACAGCGTTAATATCAGTAGATATGATTCATTTGAAATGAATCAAAGCAAGAATTCTTTTGAAACACATAACTCAGGAGTTTGGAAACACTATGGAGAATGATTAAATGCATACGTATGCTATTGTAAATTCACAACTTGAAAGATACTACTACTAATACTGAACATACTGAACGTAAACGGCAACTATCCGAGTCATTCATTTCTCATTAGCGCGATATTATGGAAGATAGTAGTATTTTTTAAAAACAACTGGTATCACATACTGTACTATACTTGGGATAGAAACATACTTTATATCCATTCCGAAAAACCATGATTGTCGTTGAGCATAGCAAACATAGACTATGTACATTTATAATGGAGGAGGATTTTTAAAATAATCAGTCCCTTTGATAAATATGAATAATTTTAGTAGTATAGATCATGAGTCAGTTGAAGCTAAACCAACATGAAAAACCTGGAATCACTAGACGACCATTTTGTTCTATTGTGGGACTCCTCAGCAGTGCGCATCCACTGGGCATCCAATGGTGTTCATGTCTAAATTCAACTAATCCACGAATGAATAACATAATAAGATGATTATTCGTCGCTCCATTTGTACTGACTATATGCTCCATTGTCAAGCTTTACTGTGATTATTTAATTTAGGTAATCAAGATTCTATGTAATTCATGGTTTCCGAATGAAATCTTCCAAATGTTACTGACTTTACTCTTTGTATTTTAAACCGAAAGATTTAGATAATTATTATTAAGCAAGTATTATGCGCCAAAGATATGCCTTCACCTATTCGTAGATATTTCATTCGTTAGCGTTTCATCAAATATTCACTTCACCATGAACTAAACAATGTCATTATGGGAAACTGAAGATCCAGATCGGTAAAAAAATATTTCATCTTATAAATATGTAGATGTTAATGTTTGAAATGATTTACGAATTACTGACTTCTAACTTCAAACCTTAAGTGATTATAAGGACCATTTATTATGATAAATGCTTTTACACTCTATTTTGTAAGGTGCACTTTATTTTCACATCTTTATATCTCTATATGTTTTAAATAACAGTGTTTTGAACCCATTCACTTTAGAATAAGTGGTCATAACTAACAAAAATTACTTCGTAGTCAATAAATTGACTTTTTCGGTATCGTAACATTTTCATATATTCAGTTATATTGAGTTCGATTGTATAACTAATCCAACAAACAGTCACAAATAATAATATGTATTGTGAGTTTTCTACTAAACTGTGATTTATCATTTAAACATGCTGTGAAATTTTATTTTTATGGTAGAAATTTTTATGACCACCAACTGGTAACTTGAAATATTTACTATGTTCCAACTCTAACACGTGTTCTTATCAGATTTTTTTAGCTATATTTCAATTGACTACTTTAATTTAATTTAGTAGACAAAGAAAATCAAAAAAGGTTTTATCATTTCATTGTGTAATTAGAACAACAGAATGTCTTACTGTAAATTCTTAAATCCGTGCTAAAAATAAGTAGTTTACTGAGAAATTTACTAGAAATTGGAAAAGAATATTGATATATTTTTTATATTTAGGAACTTTGAAGACATCATGTATTCAGTTAATTAACTGGTCAAAATTTTACAACTGTCTGTGTATTTAAATTCACTTGGTGTTGTTTTTCTTGTATCTTCCCATTGTTATTTAGGACTGCAATTGATCGGTCTCATGTTGGCATATGTGCATCCTGTGCGTACTTCCTCAATATAGCCTTAAGTCACAAGCTTTTCAAGCAAAGATGAATAGTGGCTAGCATTGGAATCCAGAACACGCGTCTCGTCCTATTTGGGACTCGTCAGTTGGATGTACCTGCATCCCAGAGTTGATGTTCACTCTGGAACTCAAACCCAGTACAATTCGCTTCGAACGCCATCGCGTTATCCACTTAGCTACTGAGTCTTGATAGCCACTTGCTTATTCAATGGTGTGAAGTTCAAATTCACTTGGTGTTGTTTTACTTGTATCTGTGTATTTTACTTTAAAAGAGTAAAAGTAAGCAGTTGTTTTAAATTACATCCAATTATACAAACATTACTAGTTATGCTAAGATGGTAAACAGTGATAGATGGTAGCTAGCAGTGAAATCAAGGACATACCTTTTCGTTCTATTTTGGGACTAGTCAACTGGATGAATCTGCATCCTGAGAGTTAAGGTTCACTTCAGTATTCCAATGTTAGCCATCATTCATTTCTGTTTATAATGTTTGTGACTTAATGTAATATCAAGACAATCCTCACAAGATGCATATATGCCAATAAGAGACCGATCAATTGCAGTTCTAAAAATCAGTGGGAAGTTTCAAACAACTAATACAAAAAATGAATGAACATGGTAAATGTTTTATTTACTAAATAGAAGTATTCATAAAAAGATATTTTTTCTACATATTTCTCTGTTTACCTTTTTTCTTCATTTTTTTTCGTTATCACTAGTCATCAAATTCAACAGATTCATTGAATTCACAAACCACAAGTTCTTTGTTAAATTATAAAAGCCCTACTAATAATCTAGCCAATACAGAATACAAAGTTTGCTCTACTGTAAGTTAACCTATTGATGTATAAAAAAGATTTTATATTCAGGCATCAAGAGTTATTTCATTGTTACTAAAAATATTTCGTAGAAATAGGTTTAGTATCAGAAGGGGTTTTGTGGAGATTGTAGTAATTACAACAGTGGCCGCCTCTAACTTTCTTCCAACCATCCCCAACACCGGTTAGCATTGCACGTCGTGGTAATCAGTGTAAATTGTAGTTAACATTGGTTAAATATGCAGTTTGCTCATTATTATTGTGATTTTTAGTGGACCATACTGGAAACAGAAATCCCTGTAGACTAATTTCAGTTTAGTTTCAAATCTCCCGTTTCCATCAATATTACTAGGTTAGGAATGTGCAGTCATAGATTTGTCAGCTTCACTAATGACATACGCTGTTTGACTGGGACTCAAAACAAACGGCTATCATTTTGTTTCAATTACTAGGCTATGTGACGGAAACATACAAGGTAATACATTATCAAAAGCTATTCCAGGTAAAGTAAGGTTTGTGATAGAAACCATTCAAGGTTCATTCATTAGGTTCATACTGTTAGTCTGAGACACAAGTTTTAACATTGTAAGCTATAGAAACATTATGGAGAGGTGTTTGAATATGTAGCATATTGTTGAGTTTGACTGAACGTCATACCTTTCCCTTTTATGCATTGAGGGTGATTTCACTCAAAATTTGTTGACTCACTTATAGTTGGTTAAACAAAGAGTATAGATGTGTTGCGTTGAATGTAGTTCCCAAAGTACTTCTTAGAGTGTTTTTGGCGCTGTCATTCTGCCTCTTGTTTCGTCCCATCTGCATGATTCGTTAAGAACTTTGACAGATACCTATTTCTACAAAAAAGATAATTTCGGATTCCTATTCACAAAATGCGCTATCAGACTAAAACCTTTAAGTTTGTGAATAAGGCGTTTAAATGACTCCACTTAAATTGTAATGGGATAGAGCTCCATAGGAGAAAGATTCAACCGCATTATTAGATTTACATACATCAGTAAGAATAACAGATTTTTATAAATACTGTTGGTGGTTTAACTTTCTTGTATCATGAACTATAGTGTAACGATTACTGTAATGAAGATTGTTTATTGTTAAAATTATGAAAGATAATAAACTTTATGACGTGAAATCCCCGATTCAACAAACTATGTAAAGTGTTATACAGAGAAGTTAAATTTGAAGTTATTCTGCAGGAGTTCGAGCAGTTTGACGTTAAGCATTCTAAATAAGGTTGTAAATAAACTGACTATAAGTAGTTTTGTTCTTTCAAGCCATCACATTTTAATTATAGATTTATCTATAATTACTGATCAGTAGACGATACTTACTACCTACACCTGTTACTTCTCGTGAAGGAGCATAGGCCGCTCACCAGCATTCTCCATCCAACCCTGTCCTAATCAATCCTTTCCAGTTCTTTCTAATTGCTATTCATCCTTTTCATATCTACTATCATTTCTCGACGAAGTGTGTTCTTCGAGCTTCCTCTTTCACGTTACACTTCAGGATTCCGAGTTAGGGATTGCCTCGTGATGCAGTTTGGTGACCTCCTCAATATGTGTCCTATCCACTTCCAACATCTTTTCATAATTACCTCTTCAGCTGGAAGCTGGTTTGTTCTCTCCCACAGAATGCTGTTGTTGATGGTATCCGGTCAATAGATGTTGGGTATCTTGCGTAGACAACTATTTATAAATACTTGCACCTTCTTGATGGTAGTTGTTGTAGTTCTCTAAGTTTCAGCTCCGTACAGTAGAACTGTCTTGACATTCGTATTGGAGATTTTGACTTTGATATTGGTTGAAAGTTGTTTTGAGTCCCATATGTTTTTCAATGGTAGGAGTGCTGTCCTTGCTTTGCCAATCCTCACCTTTACGTCTGCATCTGATCCTCCCTGTTAATCGATGATGCTTCTCAAGTATGTGAAGGATTCTACATCTTCCAGAGTGTCACTATTACGTGCGATTGGGTTAGTGTTCTCCATGTTGTATTTGAGGATCTTGGTTTTTCCTTTGTGTATGTTGAGGCCCACTGATTCAGAGGCCGCTTAGTAGACGATACCTAACCATTTAATCTTTAGTCTGTAGATAAAACTATGAAATTTTGTTGTTTTTTGTTAACAAATCACCTTGTACCCATATTTATAATACAGAATTATATTTAGTACAATATCTTTTGTAAATTTTCAGTCACTGAGTACAAGTTTACCAGTCAATAATTTATTGCCTAATCGTGTTCAAGTTTCTACAAGTCCTTTCTCACATTCGATTGTCAAGTCACCAAATACATCACAAACCAAGTCACAACTTGCATCAAATCCAACGCCGCTACTGCCACCTCCACCACCACCAACATCAACTGATCAGCTACAGGAGCAACAACAAATACCTAAAACTTGTAATGCACCACCTGTGATTAATTCATTGAAACCACGAAATCAAACTGCGATATCACAAATAGCTCAAATGTTACAAGAAAAAGGTATTGTTTCTTATCGTAGTCGACAAATGCCATCTGGAGCAAAACATTTGTATCCAGGATCACATCCTTTGTTAATTTCATCAGCTCCTTCATCATCAGAACGTTTAAAATCATTTACACAAATGAATAATATCCATGACAATAACAATAATAATACTAGGAATTGTACTGATAATAATAACCTTAATGTTAATACGAAAATTCAAGATGAGACAACCAATAACACAAACAATGAGAAAAGAAAAGAAGAGGAAGAAGGAGAACAAACTTTGGTTAAAACTACAAAGTATCACTCACCTTTATTGGTTGAAGTAAGCTAACTTTTTGGTACACAAAATTTTATTTTATATTTACCTATTAGCTAGACAAAGTAAACTCCATGATGTATGCATAGATTATGTCTAAAGTTAATTTAGGTTATAAAATCTTTTGTGGGATATTTTTTAAAGTATGTGGTCAGTATTTTTTTTCTGGTTAGCGCTTTTTAGCGAGTTGTTTTTCTACGGGATTGGGTCGTTAACCCCATACCCCCCTCCTCCTTTATCCGGGTTTGGTACCGGCAGCAGCTCCAGAGGGGCTTCAGGCCTTCACATCTACATCGGATGTGAAGGCGCGTATCGGCAAAGCAAGAGCAGCATATCTACAACCGAAATACATCCGGATCTCAAAAGAACTGTCAACCAACAGCAAGGCCAGAATTTTCAATACATATGTCAAAACAGTTCTACTGTATGGTGCGGAAACTTGGACAAATACGAAAGCCATCATCCAGAAGATACAAGTGTTTATTAACAGCTGTCTACACAAAATAATTTGGATCCGTTGGCCAGATACTATTAGCAACAACCTACTGTGGGAGAAAACAAACTAGATCCCAGCGGAGGAAGAAATCAGGAAGAAGCGCTGGAAGTGGATAGGATAGGCACCCAACTGCATCACATGGCAAACATTCACTTGGAATCCTCAAACCCAAAGGAGGAGAGGAAAACCAAGGGGCACATTACATCGAGAACTGGAGACAGACATGAGAAAAATGAAAGAAAATTAGATAGAACTAGATAGAAAGGCCCAGGACAGAGTGGGATGGAGAATGCTTGTCGGTGGCTTATGCTCCGAATGGGGGGGTAACAAGTGTAAGTAAGTAAGTATATAGTTAGAATGAAAGTAGAATGTAATGATAAACTAGCTATGATGATGTAATGTACATAAGTGGTTCGCTTTCAAACCATTTTTTGCATAAATACCCAATTATTTAACGATACAAATATAGTATTATGTTATAAATGCATACCAATATACTAACGAAACTCTTATCAAGACATTAGAAACTTTGACTTGTAACTTTGTAAACAATTTAGAATTGAATTTCGAGGTACGACATTTTCTAGACTACAGGTAAATGAATAAGAAAAAAATTGAGTGTTTCAATTAATCAGCTGTAAAACGATCAAAAACTGATAGAACTACAAATAATTGTCGGAATGAACAACGGTAAGCTGAATTTACTAAGGAAGATTTCGAAGTGAACAAGAACACCAGTAGGGACAATCGAATGTATTTAACACAAAGTTACAGAACTTGTTAATAAAAGTAAATGCTTAATTTGCAAAATGTCCACCAATTGTCTCAAAATGACTCACACTTCATTGTTCTTTCATTTTCATGCAAATCGCATCCTGTTCCCATTCTTTGCTGTTCGATCCTCTTGTCTTTCTGCTGCCAGACATTCTGTCCACGACTAACATCAAATAACAATTGTCAGTATAAGTAGCACACACCACAATTTGATTTATACACTTAGTATATTCATTGTTATAACGATTGATTTTCTTCTTCTACATGTATGGGAAGTTAATTTGCCTTAGATAAATATCTACACTAAATACCCTCTCAGTGTCTATCTTACAGGAATTCAACACAACTCAGATCAAGAACACGTGATTAGCCTGACTAGAACGTAAATATATTTCCACACCAAACATCGACAATAATTCAATACAATCTAATAACAATCAACAAACAATAATAATGAAGATAGGAGAATACATAACTCACCCAACTCCTGTCAAACTATCTACAAGTCTGACAAAGCAAACAATCATTCATTATCGTTCTCGTCGACTCACCATTATTCAGTAGTATTATTAATACCAATCCAAATACATCATATATTATGTTACTTAGGTATGACAATTACCTTCATATAATCCATAAAACTAACTATCATTTATCTCACCGTCAAAAACGTTGTCTTTGTAGATATTTGTTCGCTGTTATTCTCGTAATTTAGACGTGAGGTCAATCATATAAATTACTTTCATTATTTTTAATTGTCGTAATTTATTTCTTTTTGTTAATAACCAACAGACAGTATTGAGCAAACTACTTCCAGAATTGAACCGATCTCCAAGTAGGTCTTCAGATTTAAATAATTCGAATAAAACATCAAATAATAAACATACATTGAATCCACGAATGAATAATTCGAAGAGAATAGATACTGACAAAAATCATTCAATAGAAACTTCATATTCAACCGACAATAAAAATGATACCGTAATGAATACTACTAATAATAATATCAGTAATGGATCGAATTATTTAAAACATTTAAATGAATCAAATATGCATAATGGTATTGAAACCGATCATGGAGATCAATCAACAGATGTCAAGTCAATAACAATAGTGAAAAATGCCAAATTGTTTCGTAATAATAGCTCTGCTACAAGCAAAAATAATATTGATTATAATAGTCATTTAAGAAGAGCGTACAGTGTAATAAAACCTCCAGAAAAGCTAATCACATCGAAAGCTTATATAAGTTTATCTTCTTCTGGGAAATCATCGAACAATAATCAAGTTTCAAAAACAATGACTGAAGAACCGACGACAAACATAAGATATGACCAACAATCTCCAATATCTGAATCAAATTATCAGTATTCATTAATGGATTCTACTGGAGAAAGTAATCATAGTAAATTGATTACAACAAATGATTGGTTAATAGTTGAACATGAACAATTGGGCAATGAATCAACTAGTGAACTTCAATTAACTGTAAATTGTGTCAATCTTTTAATGTACATGCTTTCTTCTATTTTATGCAATTAAGGTTTATTATTGAAGAATTACTTTAACCATTTCTATTAAAAGTAGATACATCTTTGGTTTGGTCAACTTGCATATTCCATTAAACATTATTAGATTTTATTTTAGTGGAAGTTATAGTTTAAGAAGACATTAAATGTTTTAAGAATATTCTAACGTTTACTAGTTAAACTCATTTGTGTTATTGCTTCTGAAAAGAATAAACCAAGACATTTACACACTTGTGTTTACTAGCTAAGTGACCTTATATTCACTTGGTATTGTTTATTTGAATCTTTTCATCGATGCTTAAGATTGCAATTGGTCAATCTTTTATTGGCATGTGTGCATACTGTGTGTGTTGTATCAATATTGCCTTAAGTCACAAGCATTATAAGCAAAGATGGATGGTGGCTAACAGTGAAATCCAGGACGCTCGTTTCGTCCTATTTGGGACTCGTCAGCTGGATGTACCTTTTGATTGAGATCATGAACCGATTGATGTACCTTATTTATGAATAATCATGTTCTCATTGTTTTAAGAATGTAAAATTACTTGCACAAGTGCATTTAGAATTATTGTTACTTGAGTTGTTGGTAAAAAATGTGTAAGAATGGCATAACGAAGTATACAAGTGTTTGAACAGTTAAATTAGATCATGTTATGAAAAAATATACCTAATGGCCATTGTAATTCAAATATATATGTATTAAAAATGAAATCTGGAAGGAGTTGGGAAAATCGGAATGGTTGAAACTAGTATAGAAATTTGTTAGATCTTCTCAAGTCAAGAAAGTATAATAAAGATGTTACAATGTTACTTTTGAATACTAAGACTGAGATCCTTTTATCGATTAATGTATAAAATAGACGAAGTAAAAGAGTGTATTAACTTCTGACAAAGAACCTTCATCTGAACAGCTAACCAGCAGATGTAAACATATGAGAATCCTTTTCAATTTCTTAGTAATCTACCAATAATAACATGATTACGTTTCCTCTTCATAGCTGAAGATATCAGGTTCGATATGAGATCAAACGTATGTGTTGAAAAAAGGTGCATACTCAAGCTTATCGTTTGATATGGGTCAAAACAAGATTATTTTATTTCTAAGTTATATATTTTAAAGTTTCATTACCAACCCCGTTTTATGTCTATCTTACCTTCGCATTGTTATTATGAGTCAGTTTTGATTACACAAAAAGTTTCAATCGTATAAAATGATACACTATTATCTATTATCCTCATGTTTTTCTTTACAGGTTGGTGATATCCTTAAGTGTATTGATTCAAGTCCTCAAGTTTGTGACAGACGTAATGATTCTCATCTCCAGTATTCAATATCTTCATCATCATCAAGTAGAAAGTGGATAAAATGTGAAAACTGGTTTGGTGTTATCGGTTTAGTAAACATTTCCAGTGTTCGAGTTATTGATAACTCAAATGAACTGGCTTATTATTTAGAAGCTAGACCACGTGTCAAAGCTTTATATACATTTGATAAGGAAACTGATGAAGATTTAGCTTTGTCGGTAATCAGAATTTGTATTTCGCTTATTCAGTTGCTGACTTATAACTTTGTATACTATTTATTTGATAGGATGGTGATACCTAGTCGATCCTACAGATAAATTTATGTTGAAATAGTAGCTATTGACTGCTCGTGGGTTGAGCATTACTTTAAGTTGAAGCAAATTGAATGAGTTTGAATATGTGACTAATTGATTAGCCAATGAATAATTGTTCAGACATAGTACTAAAAAGTTGATAGACAAAGACGGTGAACGATTTCAAAGCTGCCATTTGTAAAGACTTCTAAAAGGATCGTAGATAACATCATTAGGAACTTTTCAGGGCGTTACTAATTTAGTTAAATAACACTATAGAAGTAATCATCTCACAAAACACTGATATAAATCACCTAGTTAATATGTGATTACTTTCATATTCACTACATAAAAGAAGAGCAGATTCGTTCTTTTGGATAACCTGTCGAGTAATTATCGTGTCAAAGACCAGTGGTGATTCATATAGTTTGATGCAAGAACAACTGTTGTATGATGACAAATAAAAAAGTAGTATGTTGAATGCATTTCGTTCGAACCATTTGTAATTGGCATATAGGTGAATTTCACTTTTAAATATAAGGACTTATACCTAAGTTAATTCGAATCACTACCGTGGTTATTAGGAATTTGGGCTAGATTTCAAAATAAACCTTGTACATTTTTTAGTACGACGTATGTAATAACTGCTAAGTATTAGACTGGGAACGAAATGAGTAGATCCCTATGTCTGATCATAACAAATGACACTATCCTACTTTAGGACAGTTCAGAAGGTTTCCAGTTTCAGATTAACAACCAAACATAGAATCTATGGTAACTTTTAGGGCTAAAGTAACGAGGAACGTCTGGACCATGATTATCGTGATTTATTATTTTATAGTAGTCAGTATGTATTTTTTTATCAGCTATGAATTGATTTATAACTATATGTTCACTAGAACCTAATTTCCGGTTTAAATCTATCATTGATGAACGTCACTCTCATTTAGAGTGAGTCAAATATCACCAGTTGAATTGAATGGTTGTTGTTCGGTTCAATAAACTAACCTGAGTTTTAAATTTGAACCACTGATTCTTTTGGACACTCGAAGATTCTAAATTTACTCAATGTTATTTTGTGGACAAACTATGGAATGCTCTACAGAATGCAAAGCGTTTGTGTCTCAGCATGCGATTATTTATCAGTATTAACAGAATTATTATTTTAAGCTAATTTATCATGACATATTGAATAGAAACGAAATGAGAAGTAAACTGATGAAATATTCCATAACTAATCATCTTAGTATTGCCAAATTGAGATCATGTTAAGTTCCTTTTAATTAATATCACTTCACTATGCTTTTTAATTTTTTTTTAGCCTGGTGAAATAGTGTATTTATTTGAAGCCATTGATGAAAACTGGTATCGTGGTGAATCGGCTACTACTGGTGATCGTGGGATGTTTCCGGCCACATTTGTTGAGATTATCAAACCTCTGTAAAGATTCATAAGACTAACTATGATCTAAATTCCATGTAATTATACTTAATCTATTACTTTTAGAACATACTTTACAAATAAACATGATGTAAACACTACTAAAACCATATCATTTATATTTGCTTATGTAATTTACTTTGATATTCACTTCAATACAGACTGAGAATAAATGGAATCAATCTTTTTTGTTTATTATCCAAGTATAGGTGACTGAAACGTTTCTCTACTATCCAATAAATACGTAGCCCTAAATCATAGAAATCTTATTGGATAAAATGTAGGGCATTAATAATTTCATCCCATATGTTTAAGGGTCATAAAACACAAAAAGAATTGTAGAATATAGAATCTTTTCTCTTGCTCTTTTCAAAATGATAAAGGGAACTATGTGTACGAAATTTCTCGGAAAAAAGCCTCCCTGAACAATTATTCAGGTCACTAAGTCACTTCATGATGGTACGCTTCAGAATATCACGAGAAGTGACAATAGTCAAGTTTTATGGAGAATGTCTCATGTCAGGCTGTTTCCCATGTCAACTTGCAAAAACTTTGCGTTCACGTAAACTTCCTCTGCTAGAATCTTTGTTCTTGCTCTTTTGAAAATGATAAAAGGAACTATATGTATGAATATAGAATTTATTCATTCCTTAAAAGACAATGACATTAAAATCTAATTAAAACGCTCACTTCTTTAGCATAAATAAATATATTTAACATGTTTTAGATATCGCACTCAGTTTTTATTCATGACTACATTCTGGTTAGCGTTTTCTTTAGTAAGGTTATTTTCTACGGGATGGAGATATTGATCCCACGCCCAACCTTCCTTTACCCGGACTTAAGACCAGTAGTAGCCGTAGTAGATATACAGGCAGCTGTTAGATATCCTATATAGTAGTGCGCAGATACACTTAATGTTATAACTACTTACATGAAATATATTTTTTATTGTTTTAACATTCTACATTCACTACAAAGTTTCTTAACAATATCCCATCAAATAATTATGAAACTGCTAATAATATTCACCTTCAAAATGGTTAATTCCAAGAGCTAATAATGAACAGAATCGTTCAGTTAACTTCGCTTAAAATAACTACATCAGCATGTCGAGATTGGTAGATCGTCTTGAAGTGATATCCATATGTAAACAAGTATATATTAATACAGTTTTTATAAATACAAGCAACTTCTTTCAAAGTTGTTTATAAAAGTGCCATTATGCATGATGTACTGTAAATTCTCATTTCAAGTTGCTCTAACGAGTTTATTGTTAAGGAGAATTAAGTTTTGTATTATTATGCAATTACCAAATGCTAACAACTCCTCAATAATGGATTTTAACCTATTCTTTTTTCTTTAGTTTGCTTTAAAATCAAAGTTATTTGTCCGACTGCCGTAAAACCATTTTACTTGTAGTAACGTTCCTACAGATGTCTTGATTTATTATGATATTTAACTGGTGTAAATAAGTACTTAGGTTTACTAAAACCCGTGCATTTTAGCGAGTGCACAGGAACCTTGACAAGAGTTGATAATCTGATAGACTGTGCCATTGTTCTCCATCAGTCTATTACTTATGAAGAAGATATCACAGTCTAAGAATCTTATCAGGGAGTGTAGGAGGTCCGAATCAGCGTGTTTATTATCTCTGTATTGACCGGATTTTTTTTATATGGGATGATTATAAGAAGGACAGATAGGGAGAGGACCAACTAATCATCGAAGAATGAACGAGGTACTATGGCTCATTGGCAAACGTAATTCATTGTGACCAATCTCAATTACTTCTGAAAGTAATAAATAGCATACAAAGTTTTCAAAAAACAGGTAGATCATTAGCTTAATTTATCTTTATTTGCACTTGTTTATTTCAGAATATACATTGTATATAATTTGTGGCATATGTACAAACTAACAATTCCGTAATCCTTGATTGCCGGCTGACTACAAATTACAAATATAATACATTCATTTGTGATCATCTAGTTCTATCTACCTCAAATCGCACTATTTCAGAAATTATTAATTAGTACATTAATTAGAATACTTCTAAATATCATATAATTGCATATCCTAGTGATTTAATATATAACATTGTATTACAGCTAATGACCAGTATTTGTCTACAACTCATTCCTAGTTCATAGTTATTCCATTCAGTGAAAGCAGACGATGAAGCACAATCAACAGGGAGCCTGAGATTTATGTGATTTGGCACAAGTTGCTATCCCACTATATCAAGATGATATGATGACAAGTGAAAAAGAGATCTAATGAACTTAATAAAAATAATGACAAAAAACAATGAACATGTGGGAATAGGGCTTGAGAATACAGAATGGAAAGCTATATGTGAAGGAATCGTGTAATTCACAATTGAGAGAATGTTGACGAGCTAACAGACCTGTTCCTACGTAAATAAATCTAAATCACATAACTCAAAATTTACATTTCCTGATTGCGTCTATCACACAAACCTTTTTTAAATTACGTTTCATGATATTTTACCCAGGTCTTTAATTGTAATCTTAACACATGCTTAAGATGAACTTAATCAACTCAATGCAAATAAACGATAAGAAGTAGTAAGTGAATGATGAACAAGATTATTATTTTATTCATACTACCAACAGGATCAAGCGAATAAAAAACACAACCAGTTACAAATGAAATAAAGCACTTTCATTCAATTTAATGCTTCGTTTTAACATATTTTTCATTATAAATTAAAGCTCTTCATGTTGTTTCAGCGCATTTCCGTAATTTGTAGCCTGGCTACTGACAAAAGTATCTCGTTTAGCGATAATTTCTGCTTCTGTTAATAATCCATCCTGATAGGTGAAAAAAAGTAAAGAAGATCAAGATTATATTAATCATAGTTCTGTCCTATCCTTGTTATTTTTATTATTTTATTTTTATGCTTTACATAATCTGATTGAAAAAAATACTTGGTTGCTCAATTGATAGGAATTAAGTTGAATCAATACTAACCAATAGAGTGAGAGGAAAAATATTTAGAGAGTAAAGTGAGTTCATTATATTTCAAGGTTTCTCATCAGCTGCAAACGGTCAAAATTTACTACTAAGGGGTTTATTTTGACTGATATCTTCATGACTAATTTTGAACAAATGAAACTTAAACAAGAAGTTGAAGATTTAACACTCTATAGAAGGTGCGTTGACGAAACATTTGTTATTTGTAATGATATGCATCGTGCCTCACAGTTGCTTTACCAGTTCAATGAAGCATAGATTAACATGGAATTTACGATGGAATATAAACATAACAATCATTTTTACTATTTGGACCTAAAAGTAAACCGAATGAACAATCGAACAATCAAGAAGACCATATTTAGAAAAAAACATGGGCAGGGAAATACTTAAATTATAATAGTTTTTGTCTTTTTAGTTATAAATGTTGTTTATTCAAAATCCCATTCAATGCGGCCAAAAGATTGTGCTCAACCGGCAAAATACTAGCAAAAATAGTATACACTGAAGAATGATTTATAGAAAATGGATATCCAAAAACGTTTATAATGAAGTACGGGAAAAACAAACAAAAAAGTCTTGGACAATCAACTGTTACCAGAAAACCTGTCTTTATCCTGCTCGAATTCAAAAGTGAAGAGATTTCAAAAAGGATTGACTAAAGGATCAAAGCAGAGCCAAAGAGATGCTTCTCTTTAACATAACTATTTTTAATTTATAACACCAGATATCCCTTAAATCAATCAGAACTAGATCAAAGCTCTATTGAGGTCATCATCAAATGTATTTAAGAATTTACATTTACTTTTAGAAATAAGTATATAGGAAAGAGTGAGACAAGGGTATCAACAAGGTTTTCAGAACATATTTCTCGTAAGTTGTGCCTGAATGTAAGTTAAATTTTCACAAGTGCGATTACTAAACGTTTATTGGATAGTGGACACAACATGAATGTTTCAAAAGCTTTCAGAATAATTGACAGTGAACGTGTACTATTTTTACTCCGTTTTACAAAGACCATTGCTATCAAGAGCCTTTGACATACCCTTTGCATGAAGAATGAAAGTGTGGTACACCTATCATTGCCACGAATCTAGTTATAGTTATATTTTAACGCATGTCAGTTACATAATCTCTTCATTATGGTTTATAACTTGGCTTAAAAAGTCCCAATGACATTCACTCATGACATTAACTTTGATGCCATGTTACATAGATGCTCTGATTATCACCCATTTGTTAATAAATTGTTTTTAATTACCATCTTTTTATTGTCACTTACAAATTTACCTCCTTCTCCCCTTTTTATGATTTTATTTCTCAACATATAATTAGTAGTTAATCTTAACCATTAATTTATGTATGTTGTTTCCTCGTGTTTCTGAAGTCGTTTCGAACTAAAGTTAGTCAATTATGGTATGTAATGGTATTTTTTATAGTAATATTTCTAATGCAAATTTATTCTGTTTGTAGCTGATGAGAAGCGTTGAAATACAATGATTTCATTTTATTGTAGAAATACTGTTCTTCTAGCTTTATTTACATTTATCAAGGCATCGAGGTTTGTGAAACTTATAAATAGATTGATGTCGACCAGAAAATCACAGAAATCCAGGTGTTGTGGATATTACTCATAAGTTTGTAAGTTGTGTGTAACCGAACGTGACGTCAAAGTTGCTATGGTTGCCAGAAGAGATGAAAATTTTCACTGTGTCGAAAGTACAGCATGAGCGTAACACATGAAAACCAGACTAGAACATAGTTAAAACTTCAGAACACATCAAAAGATACAAATAGACAATTGAGAGCTATTTATATGTATTATGTAAATACTTTGTAACCTAGTAAACACCATACATTCCTCTGCCTATTGTCGTTTTTTACACAGCACTGGAAAATTAATTATCTTCGACAATGACGCCGATAGAAAGTCAAACCGAGGCATTCCTCATTTTTGTTCAATAACATTACATTGAGATCACTAGTTGAAAAGTTAATTTAAATACTTCAATCTTCACAATTCCCCACACTGATAAAAATCATATGCTCACTATTGACTAGATTCTGGATGGACCTTTTTGTTTCAATCAACTACGGAATATTGAATTCTAAGATGAACTAGATATTGTCATAAAGAACAAATTACAAGTTAAAAGTTACATTAATATTTTAAAA